GACAAATTTGTTGTGCGATGGGTGTAGCTGGGAGAACATTCCAGATAGGAACAAACATGTTCAAAAGCATTGAAGAAAAAAACTACACAATGTCTTCAGAGTACTTCTGAAGGGCATAGAGTGTGTAGCACTGGGGATGCCTGTCCTAATGTCAAGGCTAAACCAGTGGAGACACATGATCAACTTCCATTTTAGAAACATGACTCAGGGCAGAGGATGGCAAGGGAAAAGACCAGGGGAGAGACCAGCTGAGGCTACCAGGCAAGACACTGAGGGAAGGACAAGAGCAGTGAAGACGGACAGAGAGTCTGAGGGAGGTTTGCTGGTGAGGTGAACTAGACTTGATCAGATAGATACGGGCATGTCACAGGGAAGGGGAGCTGAGAGCCTTGGAGCTTATGGCTGGGTAACTGCAAAAGGGGTGCTCAGTGGGGCAAAGCTGGGAGAGGGACCTCTAGATGAGGTCAGCTTTGGATATGGGGAGTCTGAAGTTAAGTTCCTCTTGGATATGAAGATATAAAGATGGCACTGTCCTTGCAAAAGGAAATTTGGGGCACACATATGTGTATATATGTATATACACAGCAGAAAACTACTAAGCCCTGAAGAAGAAGGAAATCCTGTGACATTTGCAACAATGTGGATGGACCTTGGGGGCACTATGCTACAAGTCAGGAAAAGACAAATACTGTATGATCTCACCCACATAAGCAATCTAAAAAAAAGTGACCTCATACAAACAGACCAGACTGATGGTTGCCAGAGGTGTGTGTGTGGGCGAGGGGGAATGGGTGAAGGGGGTCACAAGGCACGAGCTTCCAGTTACCAGTCCTGGGGGTGCGATGCACAGCATGGTGACTATAATGATACTGTCCAGTATAGCTGAAAGTTGCTAAGAGATATCTTACACATTCTCACCACAAGGAAAAAAACTGTTAACTGTGTGTAGTGATGGTCCTTTCCCGTATACACAAATATCACATCATTACATAGTACATGCTAAAGTAAGTTATATATCAATTATTTCTCATTAAAACTAGGAGAAAGAAAATGTCCCTGAGGCAGCCAATTAGATATTTAAACCTGGCACCTAGCAAAGTGCCATCTAAATAAAATGGGTTTTTCACTACAAAGGGTTACTTCAAATATATTGTCCTCTTTAAAAGGGAATATTTCAACTTTCTGATATCTAATTTATGGGATTACCTAAAAAAAAACAAGTAAATCCACTAAATTTAGACACTCAAAATTTGCTTCTGACGACTGCATATTCATGAATACTACCTATCTGTAAGTTATGTGGCCAGGTCCCAACAATTTTTAGAGGTTTATTTTGTCTATTGAAATAGTTAACTTAATCTGCTGACCTGAATAAGTGCCATGTTACCATGAGATTGAGGAAATATTTTGCTATGTGTAGAAAATTATTTAAAGACAAGCAAGCAAAGGATAGAGACAATTATATTATCTATCACTATGATACAGAACCTTAGGGAACAAATCCAAAGACAATTCTATCATTTTCCCACATAATTTAGAAGACAAAGAGTGCCCAGCAAAAGCTTTAGGCTTATGTATCATTACAAGTTCTTTGAGTAGTAAAATTTCAGACAGATGGGTATAAACCACAAGAATATCTTAGGAGCCCAGGTGGTGGAGTGACAGGTGGCAAGCTTCATTGTGAGAAAATACAGTGTATTTGGGACAGTTAACTCAACTATCTTGAACTAGCTTTCAATTCCAATGCAGGTACAAATCCGTGATTTACTGAGAATCCAAGAGAAATGCATCGAAGTGTAAGATGTCAGGGAAGATTTCAAAGAGGAAGCTACGAGTGAACAAATTCATGGGGGTTTGTCAGGATATGGGGGAAAGCTGGGGCAGTGTTTTTTTTCCCTGTTGACAAAATTGTAAAAGTGCTCTATCACAGGGCAGCGTGGTATTACACAGGATTTCCCCCTGCAGACCTCTTCACCTCCAAGTGAAGCACAGAAGGTGCCTGACCTTCCACGGTACCACGACAAAGTGTCTGGGCAAAGCAGGCAGAGTCGGTAGGGGGAGGAGAGAGCAGTGATGGCAGCCCTCTCAGTTTCCTATGGTCACTTTCCTCGGTAACCCACTGCACCCCTAACTGGTTTTGAACTTTCAATTTTGAGTAAGTTTTCCAAAAGTACAGTACTTTAAAAAAGTCTATGAACAATAAGGTACAGGGCCATACTATGCTATACGCTGGCTGGAATTTTAGAAGAAGTTGGAATGTCTGTTTGAACCCTGTTCTGCCACTTACTAGCTGTGATCTATGCCAAGTTATGCAATCTCTTGGTATCTGCTTCCACACAAATAAGTAAAGAGGATAACAGTATCTATTGAGAGAGAACCTATCTCTCAATGTTGTTATGAGGAGTAAACAAGTAAATATATAAAGTTCTTAGAATAGCACCTGACATAAAGTGATTGCTGGATAGGTATAGTACATTATTTTGAAGCCCACCTATTATTTTAAAAAGTCCTTGAGCATATTTATATAATCTGACCTAACATGGCAAATCATTTACCTTAATGAGACCATCTCCTTGGGCAAAGCATGGATCCTGCACAAAATCAAGCACCTGAAGTGTCAGCTGATGCCACAACCTGAAAGACATAAGGCCCTTAACACCTATAAACTAATATCCGGTCACAGGCACCTTCAGCCTTGATGGTCCTATCAAATAACAGCAGCAACCCGCCTCTACTTGCTAACAGGAAGAGTGCTAACGCGGATGCTAGTAAGCCTGGGTTCTTTTCCTGGCTCTGCTGCTCAACAGTTATGTCACCCCAGATCACCTAACCTCTCCAAGACTCAGGTTTTCCGTTATAAATGGAGGTTATCTTTCTAGACTACCTCGAAGGGTTAATGTGAGGTGTGACTAGAAACAAGAACTTTGGAATCATACGTATCTAAGTGGAAATCCTGGCTCTTCTACTTATCAGCTGAGTATCTCAGGGTAGGAGCTGAAACTGAGTTTCAGTGTCCTCACCCGCGAACGCGATGAAGGAAAGAATGAGCTATGCATAAAACCTCTAGAAAAATGCTACAGCACACTGGAGACCAAAGGCTAATTTATAAAAATGCAAAAAAATGCTCTGAAGAATGCAAAGTTCTAGCCAACACAACAATTACTTAGCAAATAACTTCCTCTCAAACCGCTAACGGCAGAGGCTGCTGAACATCAGAACACACTGTCTACGTGGAAGGCACCCGGCTGACGCTAGGGTTAACAGGGCTGTATTTTCCTATAGAACATCGCTAGCTCAATGCCAGCAATTTAGTCTATTCATTTAACAAGAAGTTGGTGCTTAGCAACAGACAACTCGAAATTCACCCTGTCTATAAACAAACCCAAACTTTGGGACCGTGGGAGAGGGAGAAGGGTTGCGCCTTAGCGTGCAGCCAGTCGCAGAACCAACAGGGAAAAGAAAAAACTGCACTGGCGCCTGGCTTACGCGCTGCAGACCGCTGAGAGCTGTCGACACAGTCCCACTGTAACAGGGCTACGCGCAACACAAGGACCTGTCATCGAAAACGGACGGCAGCCTAATCCTGAAAGGGCATTTGCTTGTTTGACTGGAATCAAGAGACAGAATCTTTTAAAGCCCTGAAACCTTTTCATAGAACTAGTTCAGAAGCGTCGGTCGGGAAGGCAGTGAACCCGAGATCCCACACCCTGCGGACGCCTCTGCTCCTCAGGCCTCCCGAGCTGTCACGCCGCCGGGCCCCGGCCCCGCGTCCCCACACGGCCGCACCCAGGCCCCGCCCCTCCGCGCCTCGCGCCTCCCCACCCCGGGGCTCGCGGCCCGCGGCTCACTTCTTCGTGTAGAGCTCCTCCAGGCGGTGCCACACGGCGGCCGGGCCGGGCCCTGAGCTCTGGCTCTGCTGCAAGAAGCCGGGTACGTCCTTCATGGCGGCAGCGAGACCAGGACAGCAGCACCACAGAGACAGCAGCGGCGCGGGTATGGCCGCCGGAAGTGCTCGGTCACTTCCGGCGGCGCGCGCGCGGAGCAGCCTGGGAGCGCCGCTGGTTGCCCCGGTGACCGCACCTCTGTGCTGTAGGAGTTTCTCCGCCTGGGCGTGTACAGGATTTCCTGCGCCTCTGGGGGCCACTGAGGCGCCTGGGGTCGGCTCGGCCATCGACTGGCTGTGCGGCCTCAGCCTCTGTGGTCCGCAGGTTCTCCTCTCGAATGGGGTTGATAACAGCAGTGTCTCCCTCTAGTGTCCTGCGAGGACCAAGTGTAAACGTAATGCCTGACCGTAGTAAGGGTTAACACCGCCATCCCGGTGAGAAACGGGGAAGCGCCGGAGAGCAATGCAGGACGCCGGCTTGGTCGGCGGGCGAGAGGCGGGCCCTCAACCGACCAGGGAAGCGCCCGCACCTGGCGTCTACCTTCACGCGGGCCGCTTCCCCCAGGCGCGCTGGGCGGTGCAAGAGGAGCGGGGGCGTGGCGCCGAGCAGGGGCGCGCGGGGCGGGGCCAGGCGCACGGGCTGGCACGTGACTCTCGGAGACCCGCTCGCCGGCGGGCGGTGGAGCGACATGGCGACGTGGGTTCGTCCTGCCGTTCTTTCCCTCTGGCTTTGGGCTCGGGGAGGTGAGTGGGCCTGGGCCAGCCGGCCTCCGCTCGTGTGGGGCGGCAGCCCTGCGGAGCGAAGGTGGACTGCTGGGCCACCGGGCGTCTTAAGCACGCAGGGTGGCCCTGCTTGGCGGGGGGCAGCGCAGAGTCTGAAAATGCCAGATTCCCGTCCACCAGTTGGAAGGGAGTTCCGGAGGCCACTAGTGGCTTCGGTTTCTTGTTTCTCCTGATGGGTGCTTTGGCTGCGTGCAAGCAGCACTTGTATGTTCTCTGTTGACCCTTCCACCCTTCTACTAGATTTGTTAACATTAAAAATTCGACTATCAGTAATTTTATTAGCAAAGTGAGTTTGTTTAGGAACAGCAGATAATTACAATTCAGGCCGAGCCAGCTGCTGCAGAATCCGCAGGCAATTTCAGAGAACAGATTGGAGGCACTTTCATAAAGGAAGAGTTGGGGGCTGTTCTAAGCGGAAAGCCCATTGGAGGAAGGTAGGTGTCATGTGTCCTGGATGCTCCTTGGCTGAATTGTGACAGCTTCTTATTGGCTGTGCCGTGCCTGGGGAGGTGGAAATCCCCCTGTTCCTGCTGGGAGTAAAACTTCCTTCTGGTGGAGTGCAGTTGAGGAGGTGGGTGGGCGCCACAACTCCTGCCGCATCCTCCCTGCCATGTTCTGGAGGTTCCTTTATCAGATTGCTATTGCCTAGGACCTGAGCCAAACATGTTAAACTTAAGGCTCATAGTCTTTACTCATAGTTGTTAGGACACTAATTTAGATGCGCAATCATGGTTGAATATTTAAATAAATAATGGTATATCCACTTAATGCCATCTTAAGCAGCTACTGAAAATACTGGTGTAGAGTTGAATGGATACTGACGATTCTTTTGTTTATCCAAGAAACCTTTATTCAACTCTTGTTCTGTGCCAGACTCCTTTCCTGAGGGCTGAGGATAGAGTAGGGCCAAACGCTTGCTTCCATGGAACATATTCCAGTATCAGACTCTGCAGGCAGTTGTGTGAGTGGGACATGGTCTACCAAGGGCTTCTTGAGATAGCACTCCCATCCTTGCTGCCACTCACCCGAAACAGGAGGCATGGGGTGCCTGTGGGCAGTAGTTTGGAATTTCTGCCCTTTTGAGTTGTCCCCCGTGTGTGAAATCATGCTTTATTTTCCTTTCCCAGTGTGGGTAAAATTGTAACATTTCCAGAGTATCTTGTCTGGCTTTATCTGCGTATCAATAGGCGTTCAGAGGTGGAAAGAAGTATGGCCTTAGTATATTTGCATCATTCCTCAGGGTTGGAGAGAAGTTCATCTCCATAACAATGGGTAATTACCTGGGCTGGGAGGGCTTATATGTACCCCAGAGGTGAGGGGCGGGGCTGGTTTTGCTTCTTCCGGAGCAGAGGAGACAGTCGGCCCGGGACTGCAGTTTGTGAGCAATAATATAGGGGTTTTAAACTTTATTTCTCCCTTTGACTGATTGCGGTTTTTAGAGGTATTTTGCCCCGGGATTTCCACTCCCCGGACTTACACCCAGGCAGCACCTGTGCCTGCTTCTCAGGGCCCCCTACTCCCAGTAAGTCTCATTCCTTAAAAGACATACTTTAAGTCACACCTGTAAGCATTGTCTTGATAGCTGGTAAAATTCTGTCCACCTATTTTTCACTGCCAAACGTTTTACTTACATAAATGAGAAATATACATAAAGTACTGGGAGCAATACCTTGCACTCAGTAGGCACTCAATGATGGCAACTTCTATGATAACTCTTTTTTTCCAACACCACCAACTCTCTAATTTTCCGTGGACACTGACCAGATATCCTACAAAGGTGACTCAATTCTGACATGGTCTACCCAGAGATTTGAGTCAGATCCCACAGGTCAAGGCATCCGTCCCACAAGGTGGCCCCCACTTCAGAGGCCAATCCAGGGTGTCACCTGTGCTTCTGGCCGACCAGGTAAAGTCCGAGGTTCCCAGCACCCCGACCTCGGGTTTGAGTAATTTGCTAGAGTGGCTCACAAGGCTCAGGAAACCAGTTTACTCACCAGATCACTGGTTTATTATAAAGAAAATCAAAGGGTACACATGAGCAGGCAGATGAAGAGCCACGTGGGGCGAGGTCCTGAACAAAGGAGCTGCTGTCCCTGTGGACCTTGGAGCCCTGGGGCCTGGTGCGTGGACATGTTCTGCTTCGCCAACATGGACACTCTCCAAGCCCCTTTTGGGTTTTTATGGAGGCTCCAACCTTCTAAGCGGGGAGGTTCCCCTGGCCACCGGCCCCCGTGCTTAGGGGATTTCCAAAAGTCACCCATGAGCACAAACTCAGGTGCGGGGAGAGGGGCTTGGGAGGAGTAACAAGACACCCGCTTCCGCTCGTGGCTCTCAGCTTCTCAGGACGGGGAGACCAGGTACTGTAGCGAGCTGCTCCCATTGCTCTCGTCCTCGGGAAATGCCAAGGGTTTGGGGAGCTGGGAGCCGTGGATGAAGACCAAGTACGTGTTTATTATGAATTGTGATACCACAACTTCCTTCTCATTCCTTTTTTTGTTTCTCATAATAATTTGCACTTAAGACGACCTCTGTAAGTGGGTGAGTGGAGCCGGAGCATTCTCTTCTGACCAGCTGGCCACCTTTCATTGGGAAACCCCATTGGAGACTTCGCCAGCTTAGGACTGCCTTGATGGGTGCTTGAGGCGAGTCTGACACAGCGGATGGAGAAGCTATGGGCATCTCTGCAGGAGCGAGGGAGGAGGGGGCAGCACTGCCCTTCCTGGTGGGCTTATTTCCTGTGCTTCCTGCTGGGAGGTTCGAAGCTGTAGGTCTGAAAGACTGTAAACCACTCACTCCCTTGCTCTTTGGCTTTTGCAGCTGAGGCTCAGGGCTTTGAGTGACTTGACACAGGCAGCCAGCTAGGGCACTGCGTCTCCTTTGGTACCCTCAGCTCTGCACATAAACACGACTTCCCTTGTCACATGCCTCTTTCTCTTGACATACCTTTCAGAGGTCTGTTCTTTTGAAAACCAAGACAGTGCTCTATGTGACTGGAGGTGACAGCACGGGAGCATGCAAGTGAACTGAATGGCAAGCAAGTCCCCCAGGTGGCATGTGAGAGGCAGCTGTGTATGACTGCAGGAAGGGAAGTGGTGGCAGGCACCCTAAAAGGAGTGGGGAGCCAGAGGGGCCACCTACCAGAAAAGGGTGGCATGACTCCTCCTCGGGTTCAGCAGTGGCTTCATGAAGGAGGTGGTATTGGGTCCTCGCCTTGGCTCAGGGAGTGGACGTGCTGAGGTAGAGAAAGGTCACTTCAGGCAGGGGAGCTGGGTGGGGTATGCTGGACTAGGCCGTCAGCGTCTGTGGGAAGCAGAGCGTGGCTGGGGAGTAGGGTGTGAAAGGAATCAGTCTGTGCAGGGATTTTACAACATGGATTTTCTAAGAAGCAGAAGAAAAGTGGAAAAGACAAGGCAAACAGTAAGTTAGGGTCATGTCCCTAGAAGATAAGCTCTCAGTCATCCTGACGTGTATTAAAAGGTGTGCATTTGGGGTGCTTATTTCTCGCTTGTAGGACAAATGAGTAAGGGAAATACGCTCAGTTTCCTGTTTTTTGTCAGTATTACAGGTGGAAGAAGGCCCATCTCTCTCTCTGCTAATGCCTCAAGCATCTTTGGAAGTGGAGGCGACAGGAAGGAGGAGAAGCTTTTTCTGCCAGATGTGGCTGAGCTGATCCGAGCTGGAGCCTGCCAGAGGGTGGTGGGCATGGTGGGGGCGGGCATCAGCACACCCAGCGGGATCCCGGACTTCAGGTGCCCCACGCTCCTCCTGGGCCCCTGGGGGTTGCCCTGCATCCTGCCCTCGCCTAAAGCTCAGAGCCCCTAGCTTCTCTCTGCAGATCTCCAGGGAGCGGCCTGTACAGCAACCTGGGGCAGTATGACATCCCGTACCCCGAGGCCATCTTCGATCTCTCTTTCTTCCACCACAACCCGAAGCCATTCTTCGCTTTGGCCAGGGAGCTGCACCCCGGGAAGTACAGGCCCAATGTCACTCACTACTTCTTCCGACTGCTGCATGACAAGGGGCTGCTTCTGCGGCTGTACACACAGAACATCGACGGGCTGGAGAGAGGTGAGCTCTCCGGCCTCTCACGCCTGCCCTCCTGTGGGAAGGGCTCAGCTATCTGCTGTCAGGTGGGGCTGCGGCCTCCTCATGACTGATTTGAGCCTTTGTCCCCAACGGAAGGGTCTGCTGTGTGTTCGAGGCTCACTGCTAAGATCTCACCTGCAGACCCATTTTTGTGGTATGCCTGCCAGGCTGTGAGCTTTGGATAGAAGTAAAGATGAGACATAGGGAGCTTCTAGTTTTGCTGAGCTGATACAATGATTTCCTTGTAAAAAAGTTTATTATGGAATTTTCTGAGCACACAGAAATGAAACGAGGGAGGTAATGAGTCCTCATGCCAACATCACCTTGTCACACCAGGCCTTGTTCCATCTATGTCCTCCCCCACTCTGCCCTGCAGTCCTGGGTTATTGGGAAGCAGATCCCTCCCAGATTTAACTGGTAAATAATGCATGAACCCATCAACAGGTATTTCTAGAAGATAACTTTTAACACATAGCTTTGACATCTTTATCACACAAATCACTAATTACTTTATAGCATCAGACTTTGTGCGTGATGGTTTCTCAGCTGTCTAGATGGTGACCACATCCAGGGACTTGCAGATGGTGCCGACCTCTGGCTGTACATTGCAGGGAAGCATTTACTGGGCCTTTTTCTTACATACAGTGATGCGGAAGGTCCTGACAGTCGGCTGCCAGCGAGTCAGCAGCCCAGCCAGGCTGCATGTGTCTTGAGATTTGACAGGAGTCACCTTGACTCCAGGAACATGTTTCCTTGCCAGATGATTCTGGAACCACGTTCAGCTTGGAACCACATAGACATCTGTGGGGTGATGGCCTCTCCTGGAGATGCAGCAGTGCATCCTGTGGGGTGGTGGGAGCATCTGGCTGTGGGCTTCAGCGTCGTGGTTGGGACAGCGAAGGGGGCAGGGGGCAGTGCCTGCAGTCGGGACCAAGTCTGCCTTCCACAGCTTCTCAGAAGCTGACAGTGGGGACGTGAGTTTGGAAGCAGAGTTTTCAGGAAACATATTTATATTATTTTCTAACTTGGTAACTTGCTGTCTATAGATTAGAAAATGTTTTCCCTGGGATTAGATTAATTTTATCTGAATTTATATCAAATGTTTCTTTGTTTTAACTGTGACTGGCTCCATCTGGAAGTCCTCCTTCCAGTGCTAGTTCTGGTCAGTGGGGTGCCATCTGTAGGTGATAGAGGCTTCCACTAAGGGCTGTGACTCTTGAGGGTCCTGCCAAGCCCAGAGATGGTGATTTGGGGCTTGTATGCCCACCCTGGAGGCAGCAGCTCTTAGCTTTGGTTTGAATTTCAGTGTCTGGAATCCCTGCCTCAAAACTGGTTGAAGCGCACGGGTCCTTTGCCTCCGCCACCTGCACTGTCTGCCGGAGACCCTGCCCAGGGAAGGACTTCTGGGTGAGTTGTCACGTGGGTGGTTCTCTCCCTTCTGTGCTTTGCAGTGGGAGTGATCTGGAGAAATAGTATTTTGTAAGCATCACATTGGGAGGACAGCAGAACAGTAATAGTGTGAAAATGTTATTTTTAAAATAGAGCAATACATATTGTAAAAATTAAGGCTGTACAGAATGCAGGAAAAAAGGAATTTCCCTTCAGTCGGTGCCTATAGGCCACTTTTAAGTTTGCTGTACAGTGTTTCAGGCCTTTTAAAAACTATGCACACATACACACATACCTGTGTACCTATAGTACATGGTTACTATTTTTTTTTTCAGTAATGGGATCATTAAGCTTAATATTCTACAACTTGCTTTGTTAGCAAGCAACATGGACATCTTATGTTTATATCTACATCTCTGCTTACGGTTTTAGTAACTATGGATTATTACTGAGGCATCTTTTCTGATGTTTGTAATTTTTGCTGTTAAATACAACGTAGCAGTGATATCCATGCTCACACCCCTGTGTACTTTGGGAATATTTCCATAGGATGGTTTCTTTGGGTAGAATAGGATGGAGGGGAGAATCTTAAGTAAAAATGAAACTGAAGTGCCAGCGTGGCAGAGGACTCTGTCTGTGCTTCTTGTTGAGGAGAAACAGCATAGAATTCACCATTGCAGAGTGGGCGCGTCCCTGACACCGGTACGTTCAGTGCTGTGCGGCCGCCGTCTCGGTAAATCCCGCAACACCTCATCCTGCAGCCACTAGCCAACCTCATTTTCTCCCTCCCCCGAGCCCCTGGCCGCCACTGACCCCCCACCGCCCACAGTGTCGCCTTTTCCAGAGTGTCACAGAGGGGCACACACAGCGCGTGGCCTTCCCAGGTCGGCTTCTCCTCCGTGGTCCTGTGCGTGTGAGGGCCCTCGTGTGTTTTCCTGGCCCGGTGGCGCGTCTCTCTTTAGTGCAGAATAACACCCGTCGTCGGTCTGGCCCATGGTCTGTCCGTCACCTGTGAGGGACGCCTCGGTTGCTTCCAGGTTTGGCAGTTACGGATAAATCTGCTGTAAACATCCGTGTGTGGGGTTTGGTGTGGACGTAGTTGTCAGCTTCTGTGTAAATGCAAGGAATGTGATTGCTGGATCGCGTGGTAAGAGTGTGTCTGGCTTTGTAAGGAACCGTCAAACTGTCTTCTGGCGCAACCGTACCACCTGCGGCCCCACCTGCGGCGAGTGGGGGTCCCTGCCTCACCTCGTCCTCGCCAGCATTTGGGGTCTCAGTGTTCCGGATTTTGGCCACTCTCATAGGTACAGTGTGGTGGGGTCTCATGGGTGTTTAATTTGCACTCATCTCCCTGGCGACTCAGATGTGGAACATCTTTAATGTGTGCATTCGCCATCTTGTGTCTGGTTAGGTGTCTGTTGTGGATTTTGGCCCATTTCTTAATTGGGCTGCTCATTTTCTTAATGTTGAGTTGTGATTTCCCACTTGTCCAACACCAAATGCAATGGTGTGTTTGTTTCCCTTCATATATGTGTAAGGGTAACAGTATTATACACTGCAGTAATAGTAGTATAATTTCATTTGAGCACCCGGATCTGATGCCAATGTGTGTAAGTATGCGGGAGGGGGTCTTCCCACATAAACTTACACCAGGCAATTCTTGAACACCAGGAGCGTGTCTGAGAACTCAACTCAATTCTGATGCTATCCGCCTGGAGACAGCACCAGATTCCCCAGGTTAGGGGCTCCGTCCTGCAAGACTGCCCCCCACCCCCGACTCCAGGTGCTGGTCTCAAGCCCCCGGCAGGTCCCTGTGCTTTTGACCTCCCGGCTACAGATTGGAGGGTTCCACAGCCTCCTGCTCAGGTGCAATTAATTTGCTAGAGCGGCTCACAGAACTCGGGAAAACACTTATAAAGAATCCCATGAAGGATATAAGTTAACAGCCACATGAAGAGAGACGAAGGGCAAGGTCCCAAATAAAGGAGCTTCTGTCCTCCTGGAGCGTGGGGCCGGGCTCCATGGCAGGTGAAGACGTCTGGTTCCCCAGGCATAGAAGCTCTCTCCGACCAAGAAGCAGGATCCAACCGAGCAGAGCAGAACAGACAGCGAGCGCAAAGCCTCTTCTCATGGGTTTTGTGAGGGTGTCTTTGCGTAGTCACGATGGACTAAATCATTGGCCGTTAGCTGGTACAGCCTCCAGCGCCCGCCCTCGGATGGGAGTCCCGAAGTCTCTCCTGAACATGACAGAAACACCCATTTCACCTTTAAGACTCCGCAGTGTTTTCAGGAACTGTGGATGAAGACCAAATATACCCGAGAAATAATGTATTTGGTCATCTGAGTGACCAAACGTGTTTCTTATAACTCATTATATCACATGAGTTTTAAGGGTTCTTGCATTGGGTAACAGTCCGTCATCACTTAGGTCTCTTGCAAAGATTTGCTTCCAGTTTGCGGCTCGTCTTCTCATTCTCTGGATGGTGTCTTTTATACAGCAGAAGTGTTTAATACAGTCTGACTTGTCGTGTATATTTTTCAATGTTGTTGGACCTGAAAACTCATTGCCAAACCCCAAATCACCTAGATTTTCTCCTGTTACCTTTTAGAAGTTGACTGTTCCACGTTTTACATTCAGGCCCTTGAAGGCATAAGTCCGTGACTAGGTTCACTGTTCTGCGTGTGGGTGTTGCTCACTGTGACGACTCTTCTGTCGGGGTCTGCGGTTGGCCCTTCTTCCTGTAACTGGCACGGAGTGGTGCCACTGCCCCTTCCCTCACCATGTCAGTGATGCTTCCATTGATCAGTTTTCCTGTTTCCCCCTTTCTTGGAAAGCACCGCTGATCGAGGGTCAGGTGTTCTTAATTCAGTGGCCTTTTGTCCCTAAGTGCTAGGAAGGACTTTTCTTGGGTGGCATGTCCCACATCAGGGAAACTACAGTTTGGAAACCTACTGAGGTCACATTCAAATAACGAGGAGGGCGAGAAGGGAGAACTCGCAGGCACGTCCCATCTGAAGTGCACATATATGGAGGTCAGACGCACTGGAGGTCATCTCTGTATTGGGGGCATCGTTTTTGCCAAAGTGTAACAGGCAGTGAGTTCAGCATCCAACATAGCATGACAATTACAGATTGTGTGATGGTTCTAAGCCAGGAAGCTGGTCTGCAAATATTTATCGGTACTCTGATTTAGGGGAGAAAAGTTCTTACAGAGGCAAACCCAGAGCTGTCCGTGCCTCCCCACGTTAACTGGCCGTGAAACCAACTGCGGTATCAATACCAGAGCCGCTGAAGTTGTAAATTCAGTAACCATAAATCTGGATAAGGATCCACAGTCAGTTACTAGTCCACATGAAAAAGAGACTCGGTGAATGTTGGACCTGCTAACAGGCCTGGTCCTGATACCTCGGGGAAGCTGTCCTATCAGATGCCATCTACTTCAGTTCTGGGAAATTTTTGTTTTCAGGTCACTAGAGGGAGTTCAGGCCCAGCCAGGATTTGGTGCTCTCTTAGGATGTCATGTGACTCCAAGAGTGTTATTTTTTTGGAGTCTGACAGCACAAGCGGTGGCTAGGAGTTCCTGATGAGGCCCTTTCCAGTGAGGCTGAAGCGTCCTTCTGGGGGTGCCTTATCCAGGAGATGATGTTTCCAGGTTAGGTGTGATGCTTAAGGTCATCTCCTGGGAGTGCACTGTGAAAACACCGCTCCGCCGAGGTGTGGTCATTTTTAGCAGAGATGTCACCCTTTCATGTCCTGAAGTATATGACCTTTATCAGCTGTGAGTCAAAGGAAGCAGGGCCACGTGCGTTGGATGTCCTGGGGCACCTCAAAGGGTGACCCAGCCGCAAAGGGGTGGATCTGAGATTAGAAGGACCAGCAGCTGCACTGTTGGCCAGGGTTTGGATTGTCTACAGATCTCGCCCCGCTGACCTTACGGTGCCCTGAGCGCATACGGCTCTCCCCCGGGCCTGAGGGTGGTGTGCCCAGCGGAAGTGTGGTGAGAGCCGGCGGACAGCACGGACCCGCCAAAGCAGCTGACCGGTAAAATGGGTTCCCAATGCGCTACGAAGCTTGAGGGGGCTCCCCAGGTAGGGACGGTCCTTTCTAGCAGAATTTTGGCCAGAGAAGAAGCAGTGGCCTGTCTACCAGGAAGAGCTTTGGTCCAGTGGGAAAGCATGCAAACCACGACTAAAACATATTTGTATCTTTGAGGTGGAGAAGCTGCATGAAACACGTTTGTGCAGACAGGTTTCCCTGGGTTGGACAGGTGGGGCAAGGAAAGTGGGCACATTCTATGACCTTATTAATATTTCACCCCAATACTGAGTCAGTAGCACTATCGTTATTTTGTCAGTAGGCCAATGGATCAATGCATGCACAGTGGTAAACAGAAAGACTTTCAGATTTTCTGGTGGGGCCAGACTGTTACTGGTTCAAGCCAAGTTCTTTTCATCAAATCGACAATTATTATATTTCTAGTATCATTATTCCTCTTCTGGGGCCAAGTGCTGGGCATCTCTGTCCACTTATTCCAGATTACCACCTGGGAGACCATCCCTTTGGAACATGCAAGGTTTGGCTGTTGGTTTCCCTGACGGCAGTGTTTCTGGCAGGAGTACCAGCAAGGTGCCTTCCTTCGGCCAACCGGGGCTGAGTCTGGAATACCCAGGAACCTTACGCCAGCCGGAGCAGCCGGCAGAAGCATGCGTCTAATAAATGTTGGCATAGGAGCCGTTTTTTATCTTATCCCCATTGGTAGTAGGGAAGCCTTGCTCTCTGCATGACTCTCTGAAGTCACGAGGTGCCCTGCAGGCACACGGGCTACCCGTGTAAATGCTGTGGTTTTACCCTTGGCTAAGGCATGAGCATGGTTAAGGGGCATCCTGTGGTGTTTCTTCAGCGGCCTTAACTAAAAGGGCGGAGGCAGGAGCGGCTCCGGGGCAAGGGTGTGTCCTGGTGCCACAGGGGCCAGGTGTTGGCTCTAACACCTTGTAGGTCCGTGACGGTCCCCATGCTT